ATTACTACAGACCGAACTTCAACACATGGCTCCCGGCCTCCGCCAGTGATACCTCTCCCATCTACACGCTTGCATCGCCCTCAGACGACTCGCAAACGCTATTCGCAGGGCTCTCGGGGATGCTGGTCGAGATCACGCCCAAGAGCAGCACGCGGCCCGCAACACGACCTAGCTTCGGGCCTGAGAAGGACCTCGCGTACGTGCGACAAGTTGATAGTGTGGCTTTTATTGAGACTGGCTCTGGATTCGCGGTAGACGATGTCTCGCAGTCACAACGCGTGCCTCCTATGTACCGCCAGTTTTTCAGGGACTTGACTGAACGTGACCGCGGACACCCGGAACGCGCTATCTGGCGGAAACGACACCGTTTAGATGAATGGTTGCAGCGCTGTGCCTAGAGCGCATAGAAGTAGATTAGGTCATAAAAAGATTTCCTTGTCTCCCGCTTGGGAATGACAACAGTAATATACATATATAGAACCTAATCTCATAGATATATAGATTAGTTAACTAATTATATACATGTTCTCACGTTCTTACACTACCTAGTATTAAGTCCTTGCCAATGTAGCCCTGTTCCCAGTAGAAACATTTCTCATATAACCCATTTATACTCATCACCATAACCATCGTATAGACATATTAGAAACCCTTCCCAAGTATAAGGGCAATAACTCTCCCAGCTATCACATAGTAAATTCAACATCCAACCCGTCCTGCGCGAATCCATCCTCGCGCTTCGAGATCACGACCTCGACAGGACGGACTGGCTCCAGGATATGTACAGGTAGAACACCGTCGTTCTTCGGTGGCACCTCAATCTTCCCGCCACGACCAGGCTTCATATCGAACTGCAGCACCACTAATGCAACGAAAGCCAGGATCTCATTCATAGCAAAGTGGCGGCCGGGACACAACGTCTTGCCCCCGCCGAAGGCGCGAAACGCCGCCGGATGAAACGCGTTGCTCTGCTTCTGCCGGGGCTTGGAACTGGCTTCGGGGCTCAGAGCCTCGGCATCGGAGTTGCTGTTGGTCTTGTCGAGGAACCGCCCGGGGTTGAAATTGAAGACGTCAGCGCCCCAGATCCTCTGGTCCGCGTGGATCACGCCGCCCGCGATCTGCACGACTGCGTTCTTCTTCAGGAAGTACCGGTTCGCGAGGAGGTGGTCCTCCTTTACTACGCGCGTCGAGTACGTGTCCGATCCGAGGCGCAGACACTCGCGGTACACGGCCACGAGGACGGGGCACCCGTCCCGGAGATCGGTGACGCGTAGGTTGTAGCTTGGCTTGTTAGTGCGCGCTGAGAGGACGGACTCGAGTTCCTGGCGCGCGGTGGCGAGGAGCGCCGGGTCTGCGTATAGGTGCAGCAGGATCCAGAACGTCGAGGTGGTTGCGTTGACGATGCCGGCGAAGAGGAAGGAGAGCTCCTCGCGCGCGATGGCGGGCATCGCCCAGCCGTGCTTGAGCGCAATGTCCACGCGCTTCTGGACGATCTTGGACCCGGAGGATTTGTGCCGCCCCGCCTCGAGATACGTGAGTAACGCTGCGGATAGCTTCTCTCGGCCTGTGTAGGCCCGGCGCGCGGTGACGGATGGCACGATGTTCATGAGCAGCGAGCCCAGCCCGTGATCGAAGTCCCAGAAGGACCCCTCGAGCGCGGGGTCCAGCGCGATGGGGTTCTCCGGTCCGTAGAGGTATCGTGCCGTTGATAAGGTGACGAGGTGGCGCACCCAGGAGAGCAGATCCGTGGCGCCATGGCTTAAGGAGGGAGATGATGCAAACGCCGCAATCTCGTTTTTCATCTCCGCGGCGGCGTCTAAGCTCAACTCGCTCAGGTAATCACCGGGGCCAAGCCAGACGGAAACCATGTCCTGGATGTCGGGCAGAAAGCCGCGCTCGCCGCCAGGGCCGGGATCGAGGTTCTTGCGGGTGATCTCGACGGCGGCGTCGTCGAGGCCGAGCACGCGCTGGGTGACCTCGGGCACGACGGGGTTGAAAGATAGGGCCCTGGACGCGCGCTGGACGGCGGCTGCGAGGGACGGGTCCGTGACAACGTAGATGCGCGATCTGGGCACGGGCAGGGTGAAGATGGGCAGCTGCTGGTTGCGGATGCCGAGGTTCTTGATGTATCGCCCGCCTAGCAGCGCCATGCCTAGCAGGTGGCCGATCAGGGGGATGGCGGGCGCGATGATTGGGGGTTCGCGCGGATCGAGCTTCCGCGATGATAGTTGGTGTGCGATGAGGTAGACGGTGATGGCGGCGACGATGGCTGTGGTGCCGGCTGAGAAGGGCCACCATTCTGGGGCGGTTTCACTGAACGGCATTTTCTTTTTTTTTTTCTTTTCTTTTTTTGCAAATTTGCTTCAAACTTAGATATGTACAACTCTAACGAGTTTTGTTTGGCTCTATAAGCTCATGACGATGGCTTGTGAATTGTCATCTATAAACTTCATGTTAGCGAACCTACCTTTTGATGTATTGGTATAGCAGAGGGTTTAGAGACTAGATAGGGAGCAAGTTGACAGAAAAGCCTTTAAACGACACAACGACCTTTCCTAGCATATTGTTAAAGTCTACAAGAAGCTGCTTTCTTCAAGTTGCGTCTTGAGACTGTCTCTTACCCCAAATCGGATTTCCCATTTAACCAAAGGAGATAAGTACGACTTACAGACTCGAAGTTTTATTAGTTAGTCCGAGAGATATGTAATATAAACACGTCCAACCGAGCCTTCTTGCAAGTCCTAAAAACTCCGGCTTCGAGGAGCCATGAGGCGAAGAATGAAATTTCATAATTATACATAGATAGGTAGGTATCGAATTCGATCTTTCCATCATAACGTGACATCGACAAGGGTCCCCCGCAATTGGATTGGTGAAGCTTGAGGAATTGTCACTTTACCGAACCGCTCCCCTGAAAGATGTTCCCACATGGCGTAGTGGTTTAACGCCTGGATGTGTGTTGGTCCGTGCCTACGGGCCGCAACACAAGTGGGTTCGAATCCCACTGTGGTCAAACCAAAAATGGTCCGACTCAGGTTTTTCCTTGGACATTGCCGGGCGCTGAAGGTAATTCCATCTCCGTTATAAGAAGGCGTGTTCGACGGTTTTTCCCCTGATTAAAGTCGGCTACCTGGCGCCGGCGCTAACCAGGTAAAGTAATGCTATAGGCAGGTAGGGGCTGGGGATAGGAAGTGGAGGATCTCTCATGTTATGCGAAACTCTAGCTCTGTCTCCCTCTAAGGAGGTCGAGGTACTCTAAACGTCTAAAGCGCCATAGATGCGCCTTACTGTAGTTACCTAGCTATAGCAAAACCAATAGACGTTAACGTTCTCATCATCATCATCATCCCCTGAAAGATGCCCTGTTGGCGCATATATGCTTGTAATTGAATAAGTACATGGGTACAAGTTACCCCTGAATTGATGTCCATGTGATTAACGGTTCACACCAACAGTTCGTCGGTTCAAAAGGGATATAAGACCTAGGAAGATGTATTCTAGATTTGATGTTGCTACTTGAATAAAAATATAGCTTAGGGAGAACATGGAGTTGTCTCAGTAGAAGAGTACTTCGTAAGATACATGGCTTTTATCGTAACTATCCCTTCCTTTGATTGACTATGGAAGTAGGGGTTAAAGCAAACAAGAGTATACTTTGCTTCTCTGAGAGATACTTACGATAACCATATTAGAATAGTTAAAGGGTTATATACCTATGCTAGTTAATGGTTCTATAAACTCGGTAACTAGCCGATACTGAAATTCATGTAGTAATAACCAACGTCCCTCTATCGGGACATAAATGGGAAATTCGTACTGTTACTTAGGTATTGTAAAATATATTTAGCACATACTTCATTTTTAAATAGATAGTTATAATGTTCTAAATGGACTTGAGTTGAGGTTTCTTAATATAGATAGTAGGTAGGTAGCTTTAATAATTCCAAAGACCAAGTGAACACATCGTTTATAATTCTCATGATCAACTCCCCAACCTACTTGATTAGTGAATATACACATCCAGTAGATGTTAGGTTGTCAATGAATCCAAGGAATGACTGTAGTGAGAAAACTTTTCCTTAACGAGATTTTTTATCAAAGATAGTGGTGTGTATCTTAATAGCACATGAGAACAGTCACAGCATCTCGATTATATAATTTGAATAGAATACTACTATTTAGCTACTTTCTTTTCTCTTTCCTCTTCTATAAGTACAGTTACAGACTTTTATAACTAATAAGAAACAGGTCTCCTAAAGTTCTAGTGGTTGCATTATCAAGAGCGAGCACTTCATTGTAAGTTGATATTAGAGGTCTTGGCCCCGTTACTCTTATTTGAAGTATTTGGATGTCTATGAGTAGTTTGATAGTTATTGAATATAAATAATGTAATGTTTGTTGGCAGTATTTATTCTTGGCTGGTGAATCTAGACTCTGTGATGATACCGAGGTACCTACGCAAGGCAGGCGATTTACGGTCATTAGTGATTGGTTCAGAACGGCTGACGTTGCCGGTGTGGCTTGTGCGCAGGTCCACGTCTGCTGGTTGCGCCGCAGCAGTTGCTTGTACTAGCGGGTTTGCTGGAAGCCTAGAAGGCGCCGCCGGAACAACAAAGTAGTATCAGGTTGCCAAGGGTCCGTTAGGAATTGCAGATCCACTGAAGCTCCTAATTGGCTCATGTGGATTTTTGTACATCTGTACAATACGAGCAATGTAACACAGACAGACGCAGACGCAAGAAAGAACCACAGTCAAGAAACACAGTCAAGAAACACAGTCAGCCATCATCAAGTTCAACCTCTTAAAAAACATTTAAACATCAACAACTTTGTTGCCCACGATCTCGCCTGTTACTCCAGCATAAACAAATACACAATTTCATGACCACGGCCGTTGCCACGAAATATTATTACGAATAAAACGATCGAGAACGTAGACCGTTAGCTGGGTTTATTGGTATTCTACGAGGCCTTTGCTATTGAATCGCAAACAGACCCATCCGTCCCGATTTATCCAGTCGTCGTCAGCGCCCTTCTCCGGTTAAGGCTTTCGACCTCCCGCCTTCGATAATAAATCGATACAGTCAGTCCGTCGACGACTATCAACCTTCAAGATGTCTCTCAAGGACGAGTTTGCGACGAGGAACTTCAGTAAGCCATTTATCTGTTGATCAGGCCACCAAGGCCTCCCTAGTTAGAGATTAAGCAGAAGCTAACAACGGCGCGAAAAGGTATTTACGGACAATGGTAAGCTTCCGAAAGAGATCTACTCGTTTTCCTTTGGACTACTCCATGCGACATGGCCAAGTTCAACTCATACGATATGCCCCTTATGCGATATTCACATCTACCGAGTTGTTTATGCATCCAGGCTCTAATGCCCAACGTTCGACTTTATCTGTGAGGTGCTGGTTAATTGGTGGCTAACAGACTTCTCTTCGGATAGGCTTGGAATCTTGTCTATGATCCTATGCTTCGCGCTGGGTCTCTCGAACCTGTTCTATCTTTTCTTCCACCCTCTCATCATCATCTTTGCCATCTTCGCTCTGTAAGTCCTTCTCCTTTCTGAACGGCTAAATAGGAAAAATTACCTAGAAACTAAACTGTTATCAATAGTGTCTTCTTCCTCATCATCCTCTTCATTGAAGTACCCCTCCTACTCCGAATCTGCCCTACCTCGGCCTCGTTCGATGCTGCGATCCGCAAGGTTTCGACTAACTACATGCGTGCCGCTACTTACGGCGTCATGGCCGTTATCCAGTGGGTTAGCATTGCCGTCGCTGCAACGTCCTTGATCGCCGCCGCTGTCGTCCTAACTTTCACGGCCCTTTGCTATGCCCTTGCTGGTGTCAAGGGCCAGGCCTTCGTCGGAAGTAAGACACTAGGTGGTGCAGGTGTTGCACAAATGATCGTATGATCGGGTAATAATGTGGACGAGTCAACAACCTCGAAGGCTAGGAAAACGCACTACTACTACTCCCTGGCTTTATATAGGGGTAGTTGATGAGGAAATATTATTACCAATATGATCGACGAACGCCAGGGAACCTTAGTAAAAGGAGTTGTGTCGTGTGGAGGGAGTGTAGCTTTTGGGTCTTGTTCTTTTATGCAGATGGAGGGAAAAGGGAGGGTTTGCATTGTCTTTTGATCTTTAGGGAACGGCGCAACGGAATACGATGCAAGCAAGACGGCTGCGGAATGTTCTTGTTTTCCCGGATTCGTTAATGCATCCAGAATGGAAGAGATACCCCAGTCTGGTGCTGGTGTTTTGAATCGGATACCGCTTTTGAACCTCTTATCGTCACTGTGCTACTTGGTCTTCATCCAACTGTAGGGCTACGGATAAGTATATGGGTAGTAGCCTCATTATCTTGTCGCCTATTTCTGGTCTATCGTCTATCTATCGGTCGATATACCCTTGGTCAAACCTCATTGGTAGCCACTATACCGGTAGCTACCAGAGATTCAAAGAGATCCCAGCATTACCGTAGTAGTCAAATAGCGTTGATCTGCCGCAATTCTAGGGCGAGAGATCAACTGCTCTAAGAGGAGAGAACTATCTAAAGCGTCATGAAGGTATTATACATAGTAGCTTAAGTCCCCCACATAAAACCCCCACTACTCAAGTCTCCATAGCCGATCGATGAGTTCATATCTGACTACCTACTGATACTCATCCAGGTCAATCTGACCATCTAGAATGTTCAGAGAAATTTTACATTACATATACGGCTCAATCACGTATTTAGATAGTCAAATAGCGTAGATACGATAGAACAGGGGCGGAAAATCGGATTGGTTACGGTAATGAAACTCAATCGAGAAGTTCCGTGTTTTTAAGTCCCATTCGGGAATTCTGGAAGCTGAGAAAGTTTGAGCTATTGGGGTTGGATCAAATGAAAGGTAGAGCTGTGTGTAAGTCTCTCTACTGCCTTAAGTAAGCAAAGACATATATAACGTAAGTGAAGGCCAAGACTGTGGGGAAACATGGCTGCATGCCGTCATTGCTATAAGTATAGGTAAGACTCTCACGATGGCTTCCTCTTACTACATTTCCTTAAGAATTGATTAAGAATTTAATATAATTAATTCTAAACATCTTATTTATCTAAAATGGAGAGAAATATTATTCTAAATAATTACTATCGCTATTATATAGCTACCTAGCTAGCTATAAAACCACCTAATTAGCTTTTTACATACCTACCTATAATGCATGTATAATGCATGTATTCGTGGCCTACGAAGCGGGGAACCAGGATGGAGGCGTGATCACGATCATGTACCTGTTTGCCCCTGCTGCACTTAAGACCGGAGTTTTGTTCATTGCCCATCCATCCTATCAAAGCGGTTCCAAGTCTCATAGTACGTATCAATTATAAGGTACCTACGTATGTAATTTTATGCTTGGTGGTGCTCCGTGTAAGACACGAACTCCTCGATAGACCGAGTTGCTACCGAAAGAGAGGAGCCGGATGTGCTACACGGTATGTATTTATCGAATAAGCTCGACGGACCGCAGAGCGGAAAAGTAGATCAGGGACCACCGGGTGGTTCTTCTACACTAGCTACCTATGTATTGGTCGATTCACCGTAAAAACTCTGACGCACTATACGTATCTTTTACACCATAATCAGACGACTATCCTGGGATTGCACTTACGGAACAATTTTTAGACTGGGAGTAGGTACATAGTGTAGTATAATGATGTAGTCTAGTCTATTGGTACATGTGAGGCTGATTATACTTATTATTGGAGTATGTACCGCATAGTATTTTGCGCCCGTTTTGTCACATTTGCGTTTTATGGTAAATGCTACATTACACGGTGAGACTTTTATTCTATAACAAGTTTTGATGTATTAAAGACGGATACAGTATGCAGTAGTAAAGACGGAACTTTTGAATTCTAATAATCTCTGGTCTAATTACGAATTTTGAAAATAGGAGTTACTGCGTATACGTATTTTCATACTGTCATATACTGTACTGTTCCTTTTCTTCTACTGGTATCACTTGCATTAACCCCATCCTGACCCATCCGCGCTAGAAGAATACGTTGAGGGGCAGAGGGGTGGTACAAGTTCCCGCTGAAGAGCTCTAGAGGGTTATTGAATGTTACGCAGTTGCGATTGGTCAGGTTCCAGCTCCAGACCGCCTGCAGGCGTAAAGGAGATGGATGGTAAGGTGCAGGTATGTGTACCCCGAGCGTACCCCTCATTGCCGATTTGTTGCGGCCGGCAAGAGCTTGTGACTTGAAAGAAAACATAGTTACATGCGGGGTACATCGGATAGACTCAATTAAATAGGTACCTACCTAACCTACATACAAATTTATTGAATTTTTCAACATTGCACATCCTTGTTCAAAACGAATTGCTGGTAGCTAATAGAAATCAAGATTATTTCCATGACATCGCCAACGGCTTCAGGTACTTTGTCTGGTGCAGCTGATGTTACTAATAACCGCTTAGGAGATGCCGCCTACCTACTAGGGTGTGAGATGGGAGGTGGGCAAGTATAAAAGGCATCCGGGTCCCTCTCAGTTTCATCATCGTATCGTGATCTTAGTTACAGATTCGAAACTTACATATATACCTATTCAAAAGCAGAAAATCCCTTTGTTAACACGAAGAACGAACTTACATACCTTAACTTATACTTGCTCGGTTGCGCAATTAGTAACCGCTTGTTGCAATTCTGATTACGGCTAAACCCGATCGACCTTTTACATCATCGTTTTCAACAAAGTTTACTTTTATTTTAATCTACGAAAAGGGACATTATCCTTTTCTTTTTCACCTTAAAACTTCGAAGACTCTTATTGAATAAGAGACGATCACCAAATACCACAGCCGACAGCGAACAGGCACAGACGTTCTAATCGACATACCAATCGAGATCGACCTAACGTTGCTGACCTGGCCAAGTCTAACATACATCAACGGCCGACCAATCAAGTCACGAACGTGTAAGTGACCCTGCACAAAGCTTTTTAGGAAACCCCTCCATCGTTTGGAACCTATCCCACCTTCTTTGTTGGCAACTGAAGCTTTTTACTTCCTTCTTTCACTCTCCCATAGCAGACCCTCGTCTTGTCAACTTGTCTCTTCGAGAAAGGGGTGGTGTAATTGACAGAGGATACGGGAAACCCAAGATCCACATTCCAATGGCACTCTGACAGGAAAAACGTGGCTGTATCGCCCGGTCCGCTCCCGTTACCTGATAAACCACTTCATTCCTCAGATATACATAACCTACCTAGCTTATCACTAGAGCCTCTCTTATCTTTCTTCACATAATATCTTTTATCTCTTCACCGCATGATACGGAAGGGAAACTGGATCTAACGAGTAGACGACTAGACAAGCGTAAAACCTGACCCGGTCTCATCTTAGTGCATCTGACCGATAGTTGCGATTCCTGCGAGATATTCTTCAAGCCGTCTTGTTCTAATAGCTTGTAAAATTTCTTGCGTTATTATTAGCTTGACGGTCCCGTACGGAAATATTTGAAGCCCATCGATATTTATGCGGTACGTATTAATTACCTACATTATTAATTAGGACTCTTCAGCCCCTAAACCCACAAGAAATCTATTCGGTGTATGGCCGGTGGATGGTCGGTAGTGGATTGTGGATACTTTTATTTTAATATGTCATTGTTGGCCTATCCTCGTTCACTGTTCACAGTTCACTGTTCACATAAACCTGGCCATTGCGGTCGAATATTAATCATTCGACTCTTTTTCTTTGCTGTTTTCTTTGCTGATCTTTCACTTACTCAGATTTTTTAGGCCTCTTCATCGCCGACCGCAAACGAATCTTGATTGTTTCGAGCATTTAAGCTAACCACTGTGTTTTCCATTGTAAGCTATGTCTGCTGCCACGATGCAGTCAGTCCCGGCTATCCCCCCTCGTCCCGCAAGGGCTCAAGAGAAAGAGAATGGCTCAACCGTACCTGCGATCCCCCCGCGTCCTAGCCGCCGGTTTAATCGTTCCGTATCTCCTAACCCGGATCGATTTGCTCCCTCGCCTCTAAACGAAATTCCATTCCCACCGAAAGGTACCGGTGCTGCTCGACACAGTCATACCCATCTTGGTGAGGAACTGGAACGTCCTATGAGCGTTGAGATGCCCAATGTAGGCGAAGAAGGTCGGGAGTATGCCGCAGCTATCGAAGGGCTTGGCTCTCTAGAGGCTAGCCGTCGTTCATCTGCTTCTCCCGAACAAACCCGTACTGTTGGCGCCGACATCAAATTATACGCACCAAAGCCAACAATGCCCGCCCAGAGTGCTAAACAGCGAGTCGCTGCGGTAACTCGCACCGATTCCGATAAGGCTGCAGCTTTTGGTATCGGACGTCCTTCCTACGATGAGCAGGCTTATTCGGGTCGCAGCCTGAAGAAGAAGGCAAGTACTACGAGTCAGCTTTCCCACCAGAGTGAACTCTTCACCGAGGATGAGAATGGCATCCCTGAGATTGGACAACGGGTACCCATGTTAGCCAATGCAGGCGATGTTCAGGCACCCTCGCCTACTCCTGCCCCGAGAGCTGCGAGCACCGACGGGACAAGGCCTGCTACTCGGCACCATACTCGGAAGACGAGTTCCCGTGGCTTTAACGAGCTCCCTTCTGATGTCTATGGCCTCCATGGACACGGCGTTGCATCAACCGACAAACTTGAAAAGGCCTATTATGAAAAACATCCTGACGTCCTCCATAAGGAGCGCTATAATCACCTTCATGACCGTGTCCACGACTACTCAATGAGTAGTGAGGATCTCAACAAGATCGTTCGGGATACAGCCAGTCGCGGCGCTGGTTTTGGTAACGCACACAACCAATAAAACTTTGGAGTGGTTCTAACCGATGATTACAGGTACGTCAACAGATTATGTTGGGACTCCTAGCGAGCAAGTCGGTTATCGAGCAGCGGATGAATACACCTCGCGAATTTCGTCTCCCCAACCGCCATCCACGGCTCCCAAGCACGACACGAACCTCGCATCGGCCTTAAAGGATGAGACTGCTGATAATGCTGGCAACAACAATGTGATTCACGTAGACGAGCCGGATAGACGTAAGGGTTTTGTTAAATTCGGCGATGAGAAATCTGCCGAGGGTGAAGATGCCGAGGAAATACGCACTCATCCGATTCTAGCACCTGACGAAGTAGCTAAAGATCCCTCTCCTTATCAACTACAGCCCGCCGTTGAGCCTCCGTCGGAACGACATGGCAGTGCATACGAAATGGAGGGACCTAAGAGTCGCCCTACAAGCAGACCTACAAGTGTGTACAGCCCACCACCGCCGGAGATTCATTCGACCCCCTTAGAGGACGTTGAAGAGTATGAGCCATTGTTCCCGGAAGACGAGAAGAGCGGCAAGAAACCCAAGACTCAGGCCGAAAAGTTAAAGGAGCACCACCAAAGATTCCCCAGCCGCGATATCTGGGAAGATGCGCCTAACAGTGTGCATTCTACCGCAGAAGTCTCAACGCCAGAGTTGTTAGAGGCTCGGAAACGGCGAGCGTCGGTCTTAGATGTGCCCCTACGGGATGGCGAAACCCCCGCTCAAGCTTTTGCACGGAGGCAAGAGGAGCTAGCCGAAAAAGAGGCCGTCACCCCTGACAGCTTTCTATATCGCCAACAGAAGCCCCCGTCGTGGGTTGGAAACCAGCCGCATTTAAATAAGGAGACCCACAGTCAGCCAAGCATGCCTACTAATAGGTTTCCCAGTAGGGATGTCTGGGAAGATACACCTGATTCTCTACAATATACCGCAACTGTCTCTACCCCGGAGAACACAGAAGAGACACGGGATGATGATGATGTAGAAAAGCCGGCTGCCAACCAAACTCCTCAGAAGCCTACGTTACCCTCGCGTCCCAAGAGGCAAGAATCGGGTGATGATTCTACTTCGAAACCTACGCTTCCTGATCGCCCAAAACCTCAACTCCCCGTTCGCCCTTCGAAGCCCGCCGCCGAGTCTAAAGGGCCGGAGCCAACAGTGAAGCCGAAGCCTGCGGTGCCTGCAAGGCCAGCTGGTGGGAAGATTGCTGCCCTACAGGCAGGATTTATGTCCGATCTTAATAAACGTTTGCAATTAGGTCCTCAAGCCCCTAAGAAGGAAGATTCTACCACGCAGGAATTCACCGAGGAGAAGGAGAAGGCACCGTTATCTGACGCGAGAAAGGGTCGCGCCAGAGGTCCCCAACGACGAGCTCCGACTAAAGCTGCCAGCCCAAGTGGCCAGGAATCTGGTCCTCCGCCGGTGTCCAACGGTCAACCTACCCTGAGCTTCTCTATCACTCGCACCTTATGGAGCATAGACGAGGAGGGTATCGTGACAGTAGACGGCTTAGTGCCAGCAGCGTCATCAGAAACAGAAACCAAGCCTGATGAGGCTACAAGTGAAGAACCTAAGGAGGCTCGACGACAAGCACCGTCAGAGCAGGACAAGCAAGACGAACCGGAAGCTAAAACAGAAAACGAGCCTGTAGATTTGAAGCCGAGCGAAACGGAGAGCGAATCTAAGACAACAGAGACAACAGAAACAACAGAAGAGACCAAAACACTGGCTACCAATACTGCTGGCGAGTCCATATTAGAAGAGACTATCGCGAAGGAACCGTCGGGGGACCAAGTACAAAAGGTTGAAGAGGCTAAAGATGAGGTGACAGAATGATAGTATCGCTCAAACATTACGGGTGAGACAGGATGCGAGCCTGTCGTCTTTAATTTTTTCCAATTCATTCCACATTTCCTTTTCGGTCGAGGAGAGGTGGTGCGGAGTAGAATTAGGAACGAGGGATACTACAGCAACGTAAAAAAAAAGCAACAAAAAGAAGGAAAGGGGGGGCGAAAATTCAGAAAAATCGTAGAACTCGACACATCTTTTAAAGATGTGTTCTAAGTCAGGTTTTTGGTCCTTTTTTCCGGTCCGTTCCTTTTGCCGTCTTCGCCGCTTCGAATCTTGTAGCTCTGGTTCGATGTAGACTTAGTATATAAGATACACATACACAAGACTTGTCGTCGTATGGTTGTTTCCGCATATATAGTAGGTGTTTCTTGAACTGTTACTTGCTCGGTTCGAGGACACAGGCATACGTATTTCGAGTAGGTGGGAAATAAATGAGATAAGTTCTCAAGGTTAGGTTTGTTGAGGTGGTGGTGTTGATTATGGTAAGATAACTTGTGGGTGGACTGTTGTTTAACACTATATACCTAACCAAGTCATAACATAACGCTGGGGCCTGGATGACGGTTTAGGTGATACTACCAAGGAAAAGTCGAGATGTCCTGTCCCCTGCCGTCGGTTCAAATCGTTGCAGACTACTGCTAAGTAAGTAAATCAAGGGCCCATTACCCCCGAACAAGTTACGCATTCGGAAAAACAGCAATTAGGTAGACACATGGACTAGGAGAATACACATGACATAACAAATATATACGACTAATCGAATCAATCAACCAACCCGACCAAGTCTCTGCTTGGTACCTAAGGGTCCAAAAATAAACAGCTTGTCCGCTCCGATTCGCCCTGCGCTACAATAAACCATCATCCGATTCAATCAATTCGATCCAATGCATCCCGTATCCTAGTTTATCCTGTCCTGTCCACTCACTACCCTTATCATCCATGCACGCCGTCTCTCGTAGAGATTCAATTCTGCTTGCGTAGGTGTTTGTCGATGCTATGCTATGCTATCGTGCCAGATGTAGAGGACGAACGAAGAAAGACTCGACGACGAAGTTTTGGTGTACCTCGTCGGGTTTGCTCATCTCTCGTCTTGCTTCTTTGCTTCCTCACTTTAGGGGCACTTATGCATGCCCTCTCTCTCACTTTCCATACTAATACTACTAATATTTATCTCCTCCCCTTCTCCTCTCGCTACCGGAGAATTTCCAACTCGTCGTCATCGTCCTCGTCTAGAATGACCATCTGTCTTGGCCTCGCCCTGCTACTCCTACTACTAGTATCCCTACTCCTATCCACACCGGGAGTAGCAGCACGGGTATTGAACACGTCTTCTACCCCCGCGCCTGGGGTTAGCTCCGCGCCGAGACTCTCGCGTCCGGCCTCGCGAATGCCTTTTTCCGTGACGAAGCGCGTCTTCTTGCGAGCCGGGGATCTAGAGGCGGAGCTACTGGCGGCGCCGGCACTAACGCTACTACCGTCGTTGTCCGCATGCCCGATCCCGTCGCTACTGGAATTCAGGTTTATCGCGGGCCGTAATTTCTCGCCGTCTCTCATGCGAGTTAGTTTCTCCTTCAGGTTGCCGCCCCAACCGAGCGCAGGCTTGCTACCAGCGAGGGCCGCAGAGCTGGAGGATGGTCGCACGCCCTCGCTGCGCTTGCGCTTTATAGGGCTGAGGTGCATCTTGGGTTCCTGGCCCTTTGCACGGATTAGCCCGAGGGACCTGGCGTCGAGATCTTGCCTGGGCTCGTCTCCGCCGGCTTGTGTCGACGTGGTTGCGAATAGTAGGCTAGAGCCTGAAGCCGAGCGTTGAGTGCTGCTAGCACCGCCCCTTTTCATGTACTCTTTGCCGGCGCCAGACCCGACCTTGCTCAGCTGTTTCATGATATCACGCTCCTTTTCCTGGGTTGCGAGGCGTCTCTTTAGGGCTTCGCTGCGCTCGGTGCGATCAGCGATCTGTCCGCCTAGTATCTCGTTGTCGAGCATACTGGCAGCGCTCGGCTTGGAGATAAACCACTGGCTTTGCGTGCTTCTGTCGAAGTTGCCCCTGCTCTTCTTCTTGGGGTCGTTGGCGTGCTCCCAGTCGTTAAGACGGTACGATTTCTTGTATCTCCTACCATCTCCGTCGTCCTTCCTTGGGCCGAGTCCGGTGTTGAACGCATTCACGTCTTGTCGGGCCTGTCGATGCTTGGCTAGCCCCATGTTCATGTGGAACTCGCAGAACTCGGTGCGCTTGCGGTTAACCCAACTATTACAGTGCTCCCCATCCTTTTTTATGCTCTTACAGAACCCAAGGTCTCGCGCTGTACCTATCTCTAGAATGGTATCCTCGCCACTGTTGATCACTAGACTGAAGCGCCCTGTATCGGTGCGGCCTGGCGGCGGTGGCATGACATTTGGATTCAAGATAGCCAGAAGTGTACCTGGAACTAATTTCCAATATCGATCAAAGCCAGAGTTAAAAAGAAACAGTTCGAGTTCCCATTGTAAATCCACAAGCTGTAAAACCATGTACTTTCCCCTGGCCGGGTCAGACTCTACCTTTTCCTTTAAGTTGTTGTTTGAGGTTTTATGCGAACGAGGGTCGGACTTTGAAGCTAGGATACCGAAGACTACTATGTCCTGCTCGATCTCCGGAAGCTGAAAATCTGGCGCCTTGACGTGTTTTAATAGATCCTTTATCACGTATGTCTTCTTGCCTGAGAGATTCCGGGTAAGAGTCGTATGTGGTATCACTCGCTTCGAGAGATGGACACTTGAATACGGTTCAAATGCAGAGGCTTCTTCTTCCGGCACTTCTTCAGGAGGTGCCTGAGGTTCCATTGTCACCCCTGAGCTGGTCCCAGGGCGATTCTCATCCAGTGTAGGCCGTCTTAGGCTAGAGACGGTATCACTACGTTTAATCCGACCACCGGCCATGACTTGTTCACGGCTATACTGTTCGGGTTGTAGTGGGATGTCGGGTATATCCTTCGCAGTGCTTTTTAACTGCTCCATTTCCTGTCTGCCGAGCTCAAAGGCGTTACTCCTTGCCTGCCTCACCCTTTCCTGTCTCTCTAGCCGAGTTGACTCCTCTGACCTAGCCGCGGCTAGTCTCTCACTAAAAGTCATCGGCCGTTCCTGTTTTGTCTGTTGTTCGGCACCACCGGGAGCGGGTGTGTGCGCTCTTCGAAGATAACCTCCTTGGGCTCCATTTTGGTTCTCAGTAGTCCTCTTAAAGCTTGGGGCTCTTTTCAGCGATATGTCTTTCGCCTTGATTCCCTTGTCTATGCCAAGACGTACCCTACTAGGGGAGCCGTCGCCTTGCGCCGTTTGCGCTCTCCTCACCGGAGATGCTGGAACTTGAACTTCCATTTGCGACTGTGGCCGTGTCGTTGGACCCGAACGTAACGAGTCTGCTCGAGAGCGGGCTCTGCTAGCAATTGGAACATCTGATATAGATATAGATTCAGGCCGTGTCGTAGTACTATCTCCAAGGGCCCTCTTTGCCTTAGCGCTTTGTAATTTCTTTAACTTGAGTTTCGCCTGAATTGCTTGCAGCTTCAATTGCAGCATCTCCTCGTCCTCATCTTCGTCATCGTCTTCATTCTCATCCATATCCATTCCAGCGTCTTGTGTGCCGCCGCGAAAAGAGTTTCCAGTCCGAGTAGACAGCGCGGGTGTCCGTCGATGTATCTTACTCGGAGACGGTGACGGTGACGATCGCTCGGCCATGCGACGTAGCTTTTCGCGTCCCTTAGGTGTGCTAAGGAGAACGTCGTGTGGAGATCGCGGGGGCCATTGAGTCTCGGACTCTATGCCAGGTCCTGCCATTTTGTGATATACAGTTTGACGTCGTTGCTAGAGTAGAGCGATAACGTCGGCGCCATTAGGGTATATAAGTAAGTATCGTAATCATCATTTGCTGTCTCCCATCCACCGTGTTTGCCCAGTATGTAGTAGTAACAGAAGTTATGAAGTTATGGTTATGTCCCCTCCACTTCGAAACCTGCAGGGGTCCGTCGCCTTTACTGGCTTTAGTCTTATATCATGTAACAAATATAGAACAGATGCGTGGCAAAAAGTCCAGGGTGAAAGCAAGTGTTTGGTTGTATGTAGGTCGAACTAAGAGTGTATTCTACACCGCCGCGGAATCAATGTATTCGTTAAAGTTGATCTTAGATAATTGTGTGTAAAAGTAAAACTGAGAATTGTATAAACGATGTCTCGCAAATGGTTCAGTATTACAAGAATACAAAATACATGTGAGAAAGTATGGATGTACTTGAATACTATGGAAGGTATCGATAATATCGATAACTAAGTGACTTAAGGTGTAACCGTTAGGTACCTAATGTACACGGGTAGCCATGGCAGCCGTGGCTAGATCTACGGATTAAATGACAGCGGATGATTGGCATAGTGGAGACGCGATTTTTCCCTTTTAGTAAGACGCGACTTTGCATCAGAGCGCGTCAACAGGGGGTATCGGTACCTTATTAAAGCCTTCAATTGTTACATACATTATGGGGCTGGGGGGGTCTATTGACATAGTGTTAGCAATAGTGATAAGGTGTGGACATAATGTCGGCCATGTAACAGTCAAGAATCAGTCTCCTGGCTAATTGGCTGTTACTTTTGATATAGTCACCCTCGGGGGTGATTGCATCCAAATTATAAGGATAACCAGGTCTGAAATAGCTACCGTACGTACACGATTATATTTTGTTGTAATTGTATTGCGTTTAAAACACTGATATATTGGGAAAGGGTGGCTTATTAGACATCGTCACCAACGGTAGTCACGGTCGCCTAATCGACATATGTCACGTACAAGACTATGTCAGGCCAGGTCATTGTCACCACCCCAGGGCCTAATAATATTAAAAAAAAATTAAAAGAATAGAAGGCCTTGTAATCTAATACAGGGCCTTAAAGATATATATATATACAGCATATAGGTACATGCAAAAGTCAATTGAAAAGATTGTTGAACTACTACTATTACGAGATTACGGGCTACGTGTTTTACCATTACACTACGAGGTCATTACGATTACGATTACGAATAATTAAAGTTTACCGTATTGCAGTATATATGTATACTCCAGGCCCTTATTTAACCTGTATATACCCGGGGCTGACATTGTATTAAATCTCTGACATCGTGTTGAATTCCTGACATCGTTGTGGACATAGTGGCTACCTGGACATCGTCAACAGGCCTGGCAATTGCGGCGAAATAGACAGTACCTCTGACATAATAAATACCTTGACATACTATCTATTAGTACTGACTTGTAAGTACCTGCAATGAAATCGGTACAACAAGCCTTGCAGATATTGTATTGACCTGTTGACATGGTCTTGACATAGTGTCAGGGCCTGTAATTATGTAATTATACTGACACCATTGCTGACATAATGTCAATAGACCCCCCCAGCCCCATAATGTATGCACTAGTTATCTAAGTATCTTACATAAGAAAATACCCTTGAAATCCCCATTGATAGGATAGGAGAATTAATTAGATCTTCAAGCTTGATCTACTACATAATTTACTATGCTATGTATTATCACTCTAAAAAGTACAAGGTATAACTGTTCAAATCCGAATGCCTCATATTAGATTACCTAGACAAGAACACACCAATTCAACAACATGGCAAGGACAACTAGGTCAAAGGCGAGCGCATCGGCCGCCGCAACATCAGATACCAAGTCGACGACCTCCAGCACCAAATCAAGATACGCATTACCTACAGAATCCATAAATCCACCCAAGCTCTTCATTCTGCCCACCAGCGCTACCAAAGATGCGAAAATAGTCTCCTTATTGAACCCAAGATACTCAAAACCGACGAGATATCTAGTATGCCCTGAAACTGGTATATACGAATTTACCAGGATCGCTGCGCCCAAGACGACGCCTAGAAGCTGGTTGATAGAATGCAGTGATACAGGCAAAGTGGAAGAGAAGACGAGCAAAGATGACGCTGAGCTTGGCGCTTATATCACTAAAGGTGCTGACTTATACGTCGCGACCCTCATCGATCCTATGTTCCTTCTCCTACCTGCATTTGCAGACCAATCCACCAATACCAAAGATGGGAAGCGGATGTTTGTGTCTAGCGACGACCACCTCGACTCCATACGCGACAAGTCCCCACACCTATCTGAAATATTGCGATGGGGGAATGTACGGACATTACTAGAGTCGCGGATGGCCGCAATATGCGATACGGTAGATGCAGGCAACGAGTCCATGTTCCGTTTCAGCGAAGACAAGCTCTTAACCGAAGTGCTAGGCAAGGCGCAGAAGATGAGCGAGCAACCCTTGCCGAAAAGTATGGAGGAAAAGTTTGTGGCTAAAGCTCTAGAAGCGCCGGTCGTGGGTATAAAAAGAGAGAACACGACAACATTGTCTATCTCACAGCAGACAGAAACACAAGCACAATCAGAGACCCCAGCGTCAACCTCAACAGCATCGACCCCCAAACCCGAGTCTGTCGAAAGCCAATCTTCTACCTCATCTACAGAAACAAATACAACCGTTGTATCAGAAGTATCTACAACTGCTACCTCAGTTGTCGAAGAATCGATAACCACTACTACTGCCACAGAACTAACACCCTCGCTCGGCGCCTCTCCAGAAATCATAAAACTACAACGCCTCCGCACAGCCTTCAACTTTATCTGCTCATGCTACATTGCCCCATCACAAGCCACGCAGTTACAGACGAAGCTCAAGGAGCAGAAACCCCCGGCAGTCGATTTCGCGCCGCTGGACACCTACCTAGAGGGTATCAGCAAGCTACGACAGGAGCTAGCCGCGGCGCGCAGCGTGGGCGACTACTCGCGAAAACGCGTATTAGACGAGGACGAAGTAGCAGATCGCGCCGAGAAGAAGCGCCGGAAAGAAGAAGACGAGAAGCGGAAGAAGGCCGGCGAGAGCAGGGGCGTGAAAAATCTAAAGAAGGTGAATACGGTGGGGATGAAGAAGATGAGTGATTTCTTCATGAAGAAGTAAACTTGGAATAAAAATAGGAATAAGTACCGGCGTTTAGAAAGGGTATATGTCATCAAATGTGTATAGTATTTGGGCTTGGGCTAGGTTTAGCCTTTGGATATATGTGCCCGTTCATCATTCGTGTATACCTAAGACAGCGGCATAATCATCAAATCAAGCCTTTTAAAGCTTTATCGTATCCGCCCCCCCTTTTAACTAATAGCCTCGTGTCCCTCTCGACCTTCCTCTCAAGAACCCTCGGCCGATCCCCGAGGTCCCTCTAGCCGTACTCGTCGAGCTTGTGTCTGCTGCGGATGTAGGTCTACTAGACGCGGATGAGTACACGCTTCGCCCTGTTGTCGTCCCTCTGCCTCTAGTACTAATGCTCCTACCGCTCCTCGTTCCGCGCGTCGTCCCTCTAGTGCTAGTTGAGCTCCGCGTGCTGGCGGCGGTTTCGCGCTGGCGCTGTTCTTCCTCCTGGCGACGTCTAAATTCAGCGCGACGACGCTCGTCTTCGGCAACGCGGCGTTCAGCTTCGCGCGCCTTCTGCTGGGCCTCAGCTTCCGCATCGGCTAAATCCTGGCTCGCGCCTTTCCAGGAAGGGCTCAGGATGAGTCGCTGGTTATGTTCAGTCTGCGATAGGATGCGCGTCCAGGTGTTGAGGAGCGTGGACGCGGTGTTGACGGTACTAGAGACGGTCTAAGGGGTAGACGGTTGAGTCAGCTTAGTTGCGTCATGCGGGGAGGAGGGGAGATAGCTAGTAGCCAGGGATGTAGCTACGGGCGTCATATTGGAAGCATATAGGGATGAAGATAAGTAAGGAGTAAGTAAATATAGCCATACGTGCATATTGCCCTTCGCCCGTTCTAGAGTCCCGACTACGCCCTCAATCAGTTCATTGATGTTCCGAACGCCTTCTAGCTCCCGGCGCAGGTTCGCCTCGCGGCTCTCTTCCGGATCATCATAGCGATTATTCGGGGGGTTAGAGGGGGTTTTAGGCCGAGCTGGTTTTTCTCTAGAGGCGTGCTTTGCAGTGGGCGAGGCAAAGAGATCCTCAGCGTCAGATTCGTGATCGGACATAGTTGCGCAGCGAGAAAGAAAAACAATAGGGAATACTGCAATACGATACCGCAATAGCTGCGATTGGCGATAGGCAGAGTGGAGGGGTAGCTAATGGTTAATCCAGGGGTAGACAAACCACCAATAGATTTAATTATTTCCAAAAGCGGCCCCAATGGTGGTTTACGAACTTAGTAGTGACGTAGGTTGCAATAGGTTGCAACCTTCTATGTTCTATGTGTCTTCCTGAAGCTAACCTTCCTTGGTGTCTAAGGCATTCTCTAAAACAAATTTTGTTGACATGTGTTGTCGTGCAGCAGTGTTTTGCGTTTTGGCTTGTGGAGATTGACTGTGTGCTGGCTTTGAAATTGGCCAATTGAACTCAGATGCCTTTAGTTATCGATATACTTTTAGCCATCCAATTTGTGGTGGGGCTAAGCTTTACAACGCGTACCTACCTACAGGGTGCGCATAACGCGTCGCGGAAGGTACGCAGATACATACGAATATGTCACTTTTAACGTACCGTGCGATTTGTACCGTGAAGTTATGAAGAGTACATGCCACACCACATAAATCAAGCGTTTCCGGCAAGTACTTCGTAACAATTACATTAAAGTAAACAGGGGGGTCGCTATTGGAATGTCATAATACCGTAACTTGGTACCCATGTAATTTGGCAGCGACTACCGCACGTTCCACTGCAAGTTGGGATAGTTCGAGGTATCCCCCCGAAGGTCTGGGCAGCCCAGCCACTTCAAACTTTCACATCCTACCACCCATATCCCTAATTTGATCAAAATTCCCACTACTACAACCTCGTTCCCACGCATCAAGCCACCAACACCATTTGTTCTCTACGTTCCTTGTCGTTAGACTTAGTCAACTTGGCTTGTTATCACGTCTAGCACCACTGTAACTCATCGCTACTAATCATTATATCAACATCTTACTACTTTAATTCGGTTTCGCAAGCAACCGCAAGTCGAGGACGGAGGTAACAAGCAAAAAAAGCAAACCGGACGCGATCGCCCCTTGTTTAACTATCGTCACTCATCAATACTTGGCCTTGCCTACTACCCCCTTCGCACTAAAAATCGTTCTCCAACCTTGCACCTAAGTCAAGCAGTGTTCAATTGAACCAACGCGTAAAGATTTAGAGAATATCGACGTTCCATGAGTCGAAGGATATTGCGATACTTGAACCCCCGAAATTTAGCCCGCACCCATCGTGCGGACTTCTAACTATCCAACTGAGCTTAAAGAACGCTGCTTTAAAGCGAACAACAATGGCGTCTTTCTCAGTCTCAACACCCTCCCCGCCAGGTCGAGTGCATACTCCAGGCACTCCAAAATTTGGTTACAACGATTCTTGGGAGCCTTTCTCTCCCCGAAAATCTGCCCGCATTTCAGCTCAGCGCTCAACTCAACGCACGCCCTCTCCCCGCGCTCCGCAACACCGCACTCGCGCATCTACAAGGATTTCCTCGTCGGATATTTTTGCTACACCTGCCACTTCTTCTCCCAAAAAGCGTCAGCCGGCCATGGACTCTGTACGACGCGCCTCTGGCGCCTTAACTTACGAAGGCACCTCCAACGCTGCCGATTCCGTTGGAATTTCCTCGTCGCAGCACAAATCCAAGGCCAGCACCACCGCTTCTCGAGCCGCAACTATGTTCCCCACTCCGGCCAAAACACCCAAGAAGCAGCCCGACGAGAAGTCCAAGGCTAATGTTCGCGCGATCGCACGCAGTCTATTCTCCGAGACCGATGCAATTGCAACTCCTAAGAAAAGAAAGGCTAAGAAGTACACCGGCCTGACACTGGATAGCTTCACTGCTGAGAACATCGATCAACCCATCGAGATCTTCACCGATACACGCGACCGCATCCCCGAGGCAGACGATACTGCTGCCAATCCTTTCTACGAGAAGCATCCCGCTTCGTCTACTGCGGAACCCAAGTCTCCTAAGAAGCGAGGCCAAGGCAAACAGATTTCCGTCCCTGGTGAAGGCAAACAGCCTCTCGACGAAGTTCTGCAACGAGAGGATGGAATCATTTATGTTTTGTAAGTTATCATCCCATTATCGTCCCAAATATACCCGCATTTTAATTAACCTCTATACTAATAATTATTATTTTATAGCCGAGGAAAGAAGATCTTCCGCAAGTTTTCGTCTAGTGAGGATGTAGATTCGGATGAATCTAGTAGCGAGAGCGAGGAGGTAGAGCTAAGCAGAGCTCAGAGTCATGAGCGACTACGTCCGCTGACCCGCTCGTCTATCAAACCGCGTCTCCTCTTCCCTACTAAGGGTAAGAATGTTGCCAAGCCGACCACAGATGATGAGGAAGCTGCTACGGATATTGAAGATCACGTGTTCAAGGATGTTGAAGAGGAGGATGAAATCGAGGCTCCTACAACTCCTACCGCCAAGGTCGCTGAGAAACCAGGCACACCTACTGCACCTAGATTCGCACCTGCCTCACCTCCCAGCACAGTTCGAACTCGACGCACTGCTTTACACGCGAAGGCTGTCGAATCACCCATGAAGGTCACCAAGTCGCGCAGCCCCTTCGATGGCTGGCGTCGTTCTAAGAGCCGTGCTGCTGCACATGGTCAGAAGCGAGAGGGCGAGGATTTGGCCAGACCGAACGAGTCGTCTAAGCGCCAGCGTGCCTAGTCGGCGGCTTTGAGCGATACTATGACTCGTCTGCAGCAGTTGGGAAATCTTGATGGAATTAAGCTGCGAAAATCTTCAGCCTAAGTTTCTTTGTGTTCCCTTTTCCCCTTTGTGGGTTTGGATGGGAGGAATTCGGTGCGTTTCGGTACAGTAAGGGTCTGAAATGGAAAGCTTGGTTTTACCAAGAGGTGTTGGGCGTCGTTCCCCGTATGGCAAAGGTAACTTGGTCAAAAAAGCCACAGAAAGGGTTGCTATTGCTATGTAGATGCGTTGTTGGACTAAGAATCCAGCCATGTTAATTGTTGCAGGTGATGGGCTCAGATAATTAGCTTTGCCTCAGAATGAATCGAGTGTTTTCTAGCAAGGTTGAGGATCATTATTGCGTTGGACAGGAGAGGTTTACTTTTGTGATTGGTGGGTTGAGCTTTCGAGCTTTTTGTACCTTAGGTATTCTTATAGATTCACATCGCCGACAACCACATCGCCGACAGCTGGACGAGGTTATTTGCTTTACTTATACCTTGCATCCTTTAGCAGTCTAGTTACTTATTGCTATCAGATAATAAATTTACACGCGTCGCCGGTATCCCTAGTTACTCTATATGCACCAAATGTGATTCGGGTAAGATGACTTGGTCTGGATTCTGCCTTTAAAGCAGTGTGAACAGTTATTGTTGTCTTGCTCTCCTTTATGTGCTAGAGGTCTATGCAATTACCTAGATAGGTACTCGACGACCTCTAGAGTAGAAATGTAATTTCCCTATATTCACTTTAGAAAATGTAGAGATATTGTGTACATGGCGTATATATCCTAATTATAGCTACATGTATGTTAGGTTAGGTACATATAAGGATCTACATGTTCGTCATAAGAGAGCATACACGCACCTGCCGTTGAGAAATTCGAGGTAGTTGCTATACATACGTAATATAAGATATATGAGTGTACCTACCTAACCTAACTACTTTTTTATTTAGGTAGGTAAAGGAAGTCGTACTAGACGATTTAGGTATCACGTCATGTAGTGTACTTGTGGTATAAACATTTTAACAAATGAAGGTGCAATTCTTTTGCCCCGCCCCCGCCTAAATTTTACCTTTGCATCTCCCCATAGACGTACCCAACTTTCGACTACTACATATTCAACTTATCGACACATCACTTCGATCAGTCATTCTTTAGTATTGGAAAGGTCTAGTACGTTGAAACAGTCGTCTGTAGTCTTAGCAACTCCAATTGGCCCAACAATCTTGTATGGAATAGCCATAGGACTACTTTTACCATGCATATATTAGTGACCAACGACGACGGTCCACCATCTCCGACCTCGTCACCTTACGTACATAGTCTAGTCCGAGAGCTTCAAAAAAGGGGACATACTGTCTCCGTCTGCTTACCACACGTCCAACGTTCCTGGATTGGGAAGGCTCATATGATCGGCCAGACCGTGAAGCCTCTCTACTACCGCCCATCTGCGACCTTCAACCCGTTGCCCAGCGCTGCCTCTCAAGCTCAGGGAACTATATATACACGTCCAAGCAAGGACAGCAAAGAGGAAGAATGGATTCTTGTCGATGGAACACCAGCTAGCTGCGCCCAGATTGGCCTGCACCATTTCTTCCGCGAAAAGGGCCCTGTTGACCTTGTAGTGTCGGGTCCCAATTATGGTCGGAATACGACGGCGGTGTTCGCACTGAGCTCTGGTACTTTAGGTGGCGCCCTCGAAGCTGCCGTGTGTAGAAGGAAAGCTATTGCTTTGAGCTACGCATTTTTCAGCCGTAACCACGACCCCACAATCATCGATGCCGCTACCCGGCATAGTGTGCGTGTTATCGAGAAGCTGTATGCTCAGTGGCCGACAGACAAGAGTGTTGACCTGTATTCGGTCAACGTACCACTCATAGAAGGTGTTGACGAACATAAAACGCTGTGGACAGAAATGCTACAAAATTATTGGGGCGAATCAAGTGTCTGTTTCGAGGAGGTTGAGGGGAGTGTTGGCGATGAGGAAGAGGAAGAGGAGAGAATAAGAGAGGGAGAAGAAGACGGAGAAGAAGCGGGAGCACCCGACGGCGTCGACTCGAAAGCAAATGGCGACAGTAGTGAAACAAGACAAGCGCGGTATAAACACAGACATTTCAAGTGGGCGCCGAAGTTTGCGGATGTTTATAAAAGTGTTGAGGAGTCGCCGCCAGGGAATGATGGATGGGCGGTGAAGGAGGGTTTCACAAGGTAAGTTAAGATCTGATCTCCTTTATATTGACGACGTCGACGGCGTCAACGGCCGTACTTGTACCCAATCCTAACCAACGATGCAGTGTAACACCAATGAAAGCAAACTTTTATCATACGGCAACGCATTTACATGGAGAGGAGTTGAAACTGTGAGTTGAGTCTATTGCATTGCATTTGGTTTTGGATGGCAGCATTGTAGGCAGCTGGATCT